CATAACGCAAATAATTCAAAACGATGGTGTAAATAATCATATCGAACGTCATTTGCTGATCAAAGGTGGTACGAACATTGGTAAACCGTGGAAACCGAAGATTATCTATTTCGTGGTGGAGGAAGTTTCCTCTACCAACAAACTATTTTTGAATCCATGATGAAATGGCTGTTCACGGCTATTCAAATGGAAATGTAAACAATCGAATTTTAAGTCTTATCGAAAGCATTTGCAAGTCATCCTATTCTTAAATTGTTGTCCTCTGAGCGTATATATATTTTACAGCCAATTTTCAAATTAATATCATCCTTTATTTGGAGGACAGTCATATGGATGCTCATCAGTTGATGACGAAATAACCCATAAGACAATCATCCGACAGCATATTGTTAAAGGGCTCGTGCAATACAATAATCATTCGATATATTGTGGCTGTTTACGCTCAGTATAGTACTTTTGTTTCAATATTTAGACGTGAAGTCTCTTCTTGTGGTGGTTACAAGGGGTGGTCTCTCAACACACTTATTTTGTGCCAACTGTTTGTACAACGTCATTTATATGTATAACAACCCTACCCGTTGTAACGATTCGTTAAAGCAGTAGAAGTAAACAATACAACAGTATCTCGTATGCCTCCGCCATGGCAGGACGACAAAGCAATCGCTGTTCTTTATATTTAATCAATCCGTATCACAAAAAAACAACGAGGGATCCCGCCCGTGCGCGATCACCCACTTTTTTCTCAGTGTACCTAACGTGTGCCGCAGCTGTGCCAGCAGTGCTGAGAGTGCCAGTCATCGGACTGACATTGTTTGTTTGTGAAAAATTAAATGTTTGGCAACCCGGTCAATTTGACGGTTTAAATGTTTTGTTTTGAAGAAATAACAAACACAAGCAGTGGAATCCGAACCGAACCAGAAGACAAGCTGATACCGGACAAACTGACGCTCGATAAGGCGATCAAGTTCCTCCGACAACATCGGAACACATCAAATGGCATTCGAAATCTACAGCCTCTGGGGAAAGCTGCTGCTGATGTGTCAATTGTTGAAACGGGATCACGTTATTGATGCCGTTTGTGCGATTTGGTTTCTTCAAAATTTGGGATGGCAAGATTGCTGGCAACTAAATTAACGAAAGCGTGAAGCTTCCCTAATAAAAAATAACCATAAACGAACGATAACCAAAATGATTGAACAATTCCACAAATGGTTCGGATGATACTCCGAACACGTCGTTAAGCAAATTAACCATAACATTTTTATTAGGGTTGTCATCTATCGGGGACGGGAAAACATAAACAGCAACATAAAAGCCAACTATCCAGTCTTCTTTGCTCTAGACTATAGCGAAACTAGAAAATTGAAATTTGTTGTAACCAAAACACAACTCACAGTGTAGTAGCAATAGTACTACTATAGTGGCCAGATTATTTTTTTCATTATCGATAGCTTCTCAAAACTTTTATCGGTAGATATCGGTAGGTTGTCTAAAGAAGGCTTTCCCGATACTTCGGGAACTCTGCTCCAGAACAATACACTGTCCTTAAGTTCTTCTGCTTTAAACGTGTCGAAAACAATATTTCTAATTCTAATGCTAATTCTGACTACACGAAAAACAAAACACAGGTTTTGAACCTTTTTGAAGATAACTAAAAATCTGTGATTATCGGTAGGAAAAGTGAAAAATCGGTAGTTTTGAACCTTCATCTGTGAATCGGTAGGCATCCCGAAAATCGGTAGGTCTACCGATAAATCGGTAGGTCTGGCCAACCTCAATAGTAGTGGAGGGTAGGGTTCCATCCATTTCTATTCCTTGCACAAGTTTAACAGAAAGCATCACATTAAAACAATACACAGTGGTCCATGAAGCAAAATTAGGTGGAATAAATTAATAAACATTTTCTTGTGAGCTGTCTTTGCGTTGGTTGCAAAATTGTCTACCAGTAACGTAATTAATTTAGTATCTAACTCTTTTTATTTCAAAAGATAGAGAAATTAAATGTTGTACAAAGTTGTGAACTATAAAAATCAGGAAGCTTTTCAGAACATCGTTTTTGTCTATCTCTTCTATATTTGGAGATATGAGCCATTTAAGAAAACAAAAGCCAAAAATCAGTTTTTCTGTCATATTTTTTTTAGATATCACTTTTTGGGCCAACTATGTTAAGAGCGATTGTAGTTAATATTAAAATACACATTTTCTCCAAAGACACTATACCAGTACAAGTCTTCTGTCAAAAGTTATCGTCAGTTGTGTAGTCTTTTAGCCCAAACATTTCAAAATAACGCAAGTACAACCGATAGTGTTTCATATCATATCTTTCATATCTAGAAGTAGGTACATTTAAGCAACTTTTGGTGGAAATAATTTTTGTTGTTTTTAAATAAATGCACTTTGAAAATAGCGGTTTTTATTCCATAAATCTACATTGTTCGGATTTATTTCGAGTATTAAAGACCCAGATCGACGATAAACTATTTTCTATACTCATTTATATAGGGGAAATGACTCTAATGTTGGCCTACCCAAGCAAAGTCCAGCATCAAAATGACAGCAAATTGAAATCAAGTTTTGATATCAACATCAAACTGAAATCCTTATTTGTCTTCAGTTTATGCTATTGATAAATTTTCTTTTCATTTTGCTGTACATTTGCTTTTCAAAAATATGTTGTTGCGGGTCTTTTTTCATTGCCTTGAATACTTGTTTTGTTATCAACAGGTAAAATTGATATCAAATTGAGTTTTCAGTTTGCTCTCACTGATAGCAGAAATAGTTTTCAATGTGATGTCACAGGAAGATTTTATTGCTCTCAATTTTGATATTTCAACCGTTCAAACGACCAAAACGACAGCAACCTGAGCAATCATTAGAAACGAAATGACAACATCAAATTTAGATTTCAGTTTGATCTCAGACTTTGCTTGGGTATGGATCTAAGATTGGGCCCATCGCTAAAAATCTGCTATTTATCAATTTTATCTAGATGAACTCGTCATTGAGACGTCGATATTTTTGGTCGCTATTGAAAATTTAGTCGATTGCTGAATTTATGTATAGGCCCAAATTAACGGCATTTCCCCTATTATAAAGCATAAAAAATCTTCAAAATAGCATAAGAACACAAGCAAAACTGTTAATGTGTTTAACATAAACAAGAATATGCATTATAAAATTGGTATTCGGAAAAGAGTCAACCGAGTTCACAAAACGGGAGGTTTCGCCTATGAATACGCAAATACAAAATTTGATAAATGTGGAAGTATTAAATCAATTTTGAAAAATATACAAATGATTCTTTCACAAAGTTATATCCACAAATGAATTCAGCTACAGCTTTGCTGATCAACATATGTCTTTATTTTCAATAGCATAAAAGTTAGTTTTTTAATATGTATACATTATTTTGAGGGCCACCCTAATGTTAACAACCACCAAACGAAGGGACTTTTAAAGCACAAAAACTTTGCCATAAACGCCAAAACGTCTAAATATTACAGCAATAGCTTTAGGCTCTAGGACTACTATTCCAGCTAAATCCCCATTCTGGACCACTGTGCAGTAGGGTGTCCCAAAATAGCTTTTTGTCATAAAACCTGGGGACTCACTGGGTATACCGATGTACAGATAAGTTTCATCAGACTACATATTTTTGAGATTTTATACCAATTTAAACAGATTTTTTAATAATCAAAATGATTACTGCCTCCGGCACTCAACTTTTAAGAGACAACTGTTGTGAGAGGCTTTTATCTTTTGCCAAATGCTCAAACAAATACATATCATATTCATATTTAAAAACGACTTATGCTTTATATTCTTTTGATTAGCATTTCCATTTCATCTCCGTTTTTGGTTACCCAGGAATCGAGAAACAGCTGATGGCTAATCCCGGGAATTTCTAGGAATCGGAGAATGCATTTATCGTTTATGTGACCAAAAAGTTTCATCAGAATGATATTTTTTAAATGAAGTTTATTCCATCTTCCCTCGAAAGTTTCTTTTGGAATTCTCTTTCACCTTAACCCGTAAGTTATTTTCCAAAGGTTCTTCCGTCAGCTCATGGAAGCTACACTTAAATTTTTGCCTTATATGACGCCATATTTAAAATATGTTAAACATTACCGCCATCTATTCATTCGATCGCGTCACATCGGAAGCGAGGGACAAGAACATACGTAAAATTTATATTGTCTTGGTTTGCTTCTTACCTCGTTGGACAGATTTAAATGCTCATTTGACAAATCGATTTGTGGACAAACGAAATGCTCCAGTGGCATGACAGTTCGTCGGTGCTGAAACCACCCGTTCTCAAGGATCAATATTATTTCGTATTATTTCTACATATCTCGATTACTTCTTCAAATCAAAAACTAAAACGTCAATTTATCGAAATTCATAACACTCCTAAGCAAACTGACAGTAACATCGGAAATGGTAATATCTCTCCAACGAGATGGTGTAGTTAGTATGCGTGGGCATGCTGAGCGTTTCGATAAATTGACGTTTGAATCTTTGTTTACAAAAGCAGATTGGTCACTTAGAAAAAGTAATAGAGAAATTTGGAATTGTAGACCATACCGAGAAGCAAAAGGAATCGTACGAAGAGGAGGCTTGGCGCTAATGAGGAAGACACAAAATATAAGAATTAAGGGAATTGTGGACACGGCAGAAAGCTGAAGCAAAACTAAAGTAGCCTTCCTCCTTCTATCTCTTACTCGGCTCCATGGCGTCTTTTCAGACATTTGCGCCTTAATAAATAAACTGATTAAAAAAAAACGGCTCAGCCATCCCACAAACTACCACAGTAAGTAACAATTGCATTTTTTGTCCGAAGAAGTCGTTAGAATTTTCAACCCAAAAAAAATCGTTATCTCTAGGATTGTTTTATGGCCAGTGAAATTTAGATTACAGTTCACAAAACCCCCAGGTGAACAAAAATACACAATCCAGCATATATATATGTATAAATGTTGATCGGAACTACTGTTACTCACCTTAATATTGTTAAGGTTCGCATCGACCAGCTTGCTGTCGTCGTCCTTTATTCTCTTGATCGTCTCCTCTGGATCGGTCATGTTGGGTTTTTCCGCGGGGTAAACTTTCTGAATCGACGACTTTGTGATACCGTCCCAACCGAGCCCCACCGGTTGACCCTTGTTGAGCAACGATGCGTGGTACTGATCTTGGTTCATCATCGAGTGGAAACCGAGAATGGCAGCCAAATCGATAATTTCCTCCTGGGTGGCATCGTTCAGTGCTTGCTCGTATTCATCACCCATGTCGATGGCGATCTGTTCCGCGGCCTCCTGCATCTTCTTCTCCATTGGCGGTGGAACCCACTGCAAAAGACCAAATCACATTTAGCATTGAAGCTGTGCGGAAACTTTTACGCGACATACCTTTTTGCCACGAACCAATCCCGGGACGAAGGGTTCCAATTCAGGTTGATCCGGCGTTTCCATTGCCTGCTTATTGATGTGATCTATCAATTTCTTTCGGTTTAGCGGACCGGTTGCCTCCTTGGTACATTCGTAGTTAGTTCTCTGGCTTGGTGGCAAAAAGGAATCCTACAAGAAACATTATTCAAAAATAGTACAAAGCACCTTTCATAATTATGCAGCGTTCACTTACATCTGGATCGACCTCTTTGGCCAGCATGGAAATCTCCTCCGGAGAAAGCTGTGCCAGTAGTTCGTCCACGTCGACATCATCGTAGGCCCCGAGGTCTTTGCCGTAAAGCTTAGCGGGTGTTGTGATGGTTTTGGTGGTGGTCGAGGATGATGTCTGGAAACAAGAGTAACAAGAAAAATCGAGAAACATTATCATAACTGTTTCGGTTGTTTCAAGCAGGTGCGATATGTAACGAAAGGGTTTTTACAGAGTCGACGAAATTCGCTCAGGTGTGAAATCAGAAAGAAAAACAGTGTTTACGCCTTTTGAATTTTGCGTGACGAACGTGTAAGTGAGGCATGGTAGTAAGTAGCGGGAAGGTTGATTTTGATCCAAAGTTAATTATATTAATTGAAACACCGTAATATTTAGGTTATGCAATGCACCTGGTGTAATAGTGCGTTGTTAGGTGGATTCGATCAATTTTCTTTCGTAAGAACATTTGGAAACATTTTAACCACAAATCAGAGCTATCGCGTTCTGTTTTGATTCATCTTTGCACTCCAGCAAGCCCAACTTCACCCACGTACTTGAAGCTGGCGCCATCCGAGCAGCGGGGAGCTATGCGCAAATTAATTTTAAATGCCTGAAATAGACACATTGCCGGCAGTTCGAACTGCTTCCTTATGGTACTTTTAACGGTCATCGTTTGTGTTTACCTTTTTGGTATGGATATAGAGAAGGTTTAGTGCAGGATTTTGTATACATGAGGATGCAGAAACGAATGTTAACAACCTTGAGCGCGGTTTTTCACATTGATCGCCGCGTCGTCGGTTGGAGATGCGGGAGAGATGCGGAAAGCCGTCGTCGTGAGATATGATTGGTTTAGCAAGAACACGAAATGCTTCACCTCACTGTCTGCTTGTTGTCGAATGCAATGACAATGCCACAGATGTCACAACTTATTACACTAATTGCTTATCTTCAATGCCGTACAACCGTTCTTGATCCTTGGGACATCATCGATGTGGTTGTTAAATGTTGAACCATCATATATTATTTTGTTATCGTTTCCTGATTTAAGGGCAATGAATAAATATAACTTTTCGGTAATTTCAGTCTGATTGGCCTTCGAGCCAGAAATGTATAATAAATCATTCAGAACGAAGAGCCAGTAAATTAATTTTTAAGCAATTTACAGGTCGGACTCGATTTTTTTCTCTGTTGTATTGGATTTGAGTAAGTTAAGAAAGTTGGATTGTGGACTGGATAATGTCATATCTAACGTTCTAATACGTTCAACATACCATCTAGCGTACCGCAGGGTAGTGTGTTAGGACCTTAGATCTTTGTCCTCTTCATCAATGACCTATGCCTTCGAATATCCTCTGGAAAGCCTTTATTCTGATGACCTTAAAATCTTCCACATTTTCGTGTCTGTACTTGACTGTATTGTACTGCAAGCTGACATAGATGTGGTGTTGAGCTGGTGCAAAGAGAATGGTATGAGCGTGAACATCAATAAATGAAAAACGATCACATTTAGCCGCAGTTGGTCAACACTCATTCACCAATATCGAATCGACACTATTTCGCTGGAACTTGTGCAGTCTATTTGCGATTTGGGAGTTACAATGGACTGTAAATTTCGCTTCATATTCCTGCCATCACAGCCAAAGTATTTTCCGTACTCGGTTTAATTCGTCGTAATGCTTCTCAACTAACTGATGGGTACGCATTAAAGTCACTTTTTTGCTCTTTAGTGCGCAGCATTTTGGTATTCGATGCTCCGGTTTGGGCACCATATAACACGTCCAAGGTGATCCGCATCGAACGGATTCAAACACTGTTTATACGTTTTTCACTTCGGAATCTACCGTGGAATAATGATCCCTTTAATCTTCCTGATTACCAAGAACGGCGCCGATTGATCAATCTAGAGTTGCTATCGGTGAGACGGCTGAGGTTGCAACGCAACCTGATGAACAACGACTGACTGCCTAGGGCGTTTACAAGAGGTTTGGCTCAACGCACCTCATCCCCAATTACGGTACTCTGTCCTTATCGTCATTTCCAGTCACAGGACCCATAACGTTTAATAATCCGCTGAGTTCCTGCCTCAGAGCTTTTAATGCTGTTTGTGACGACTTCAATTTTAATATTACTAGATTTTTTTAAATATGTTAATAGTAAATAGGATAGGTTAAAACTACCCAAGTAACCAACAAGTCCTTTAATCGCCCTTTTTGGTATATACACAGCAAAAAAATAATTTTGATATCACGTCAAAGTGGATGCACTACAATCATGTTGAAAATATGGTGTAATACTACTTGCTAAAAAGGACAAAATTATCATTAATACAATGCATGAACTGACATTACGCTGCTTTTACTGCATTTGTTTATTTATGTGGTCATAAAAATTACATGAAATTTTCGCCATGATTGTAGTGCATCCACTTTGATGTGATATCAAAATTATTTTTTTGCTGTGTACGACTGACATAAAGTTCGGAAACCCTATATTTACTTTATATCGCAAAAAGGGCGATTATCGGGTAGTTAGCGGGCTTGGTGGTTACTTGGGTAGTCTGTTCGAAATCAACGAGGACTGAATAAATAAATAAATAAATAAAACAAGAAGCATAGGGTAAATGCAAGAACCATTGATGCATTTTAATCCATTTGAGCCAATTTGTGTTTGTTGGAGATAAACAAAGTAATATAAAAAGGTAAGATGACGAAGGCATCCTGAGGTGACCATACCATACCATCCTCAGCTTCGAGGAATCGTACCAGGTGACTCACTGCATTGTTGAAAATTTGATTTCATTCCTTTATTAAACGTCGGTCTCTGTTCCGCAATATAGTGCCAATCACCGACGGACATCGATTGCCATTCATTGACGGCAATCGAATGTGCAGGAGGGCAGCTTTCACACCTACGTAGGATATCGCACCCATTCAACACACGTGCCTCAGAAAAATCCCACCGATCTCGGCTGGGGTTGAACCCAGACCCATTGGGGTGAGAAAGCAGTCACGCTTACCACTACATCACCGGCGCCGGAAAATTTGATTTGAACTGTTGCATATATGCAAACAGTTGAAGATTCCCATAACAAAACTCGTTCAAGCAGAACAACTAAAAAACAAAGATCTCTGATTAACTTATAGTTTTTGAAATATTTTCGGAGCCACATTGCATCATGAGAGAATATCCGAGAGATGGGATTTTAATTGATGAACAGTTTGAAATCTTCAGTACAATAGAACCTGAAGGACTTATGTAGGAATAATTTCTAAGCTGTCGTGTTTCATATGAGAGAAAATCTGAGAGATGCGATATGGTTTATACTGAATACTTGGGTATCTTTAGTATCATTGATCTACCTCAAATCTTGCGAAAACATACTGAGCTTTTCAAAAATAATTTTAAATAATGTCTGAGCAACCTGGAATCTTTGATAATATCTTATCTTGGACAGTTGAAGATCTTCAGAACGATCAAGCTGAAGTCTAAAACAAATATCTTGAGGATATTTTGGAGATCTATGATCACTTGGTCCACAACTTCTGAGCCACTTGGTATCTTGAAAATGCTTGGGAGATATGATTTGAATTGTAGGGCAGTACAATTTTGGAGATCTTCACCTGGAGGACTTTGCAATAATTTCTGAGCAACCTGAGAGATGTGATTTTAATTATTGGACAGTTGAAGATTTTCAGAATGATACCTGATCACGCTGAAGTCTTTAACATATAGCTTGAAGGTTGTTCGGAGATCTATGATTGCCTGAAGGTTTTTTGAATAATTTCTGAGCAACGTGTTATCTTGAGAGGATATCTGGGATATGAATTATGAATTAATGTGCAGTTTAAGCTTTTCAGAATGATACCTAACCAAAATGAACTCTTGAACAAATATGCTGAGGAATTTTTGAAGATCTATGATTACTTGAAGATCTTTGGATTATTTTTTGAACATTTTGGTATTTGATTAAATAACTTATAAATGTAATTTGAATTGTTGGGCAGTTGGAGATCTTTAGAATTATACCTGATCAATAGACTGATGCAAAATATGAAATTTTCGTTCCACAGTGCTCAAACGGTTTCAAATCAGGTCCTGCTAAGCCTCCCAAAATTTAAACTGATTTGGTAAGAAACTGACTTGGCACAAACTATTCGAAGTTTGTATGGAAATTACTATGGGAAAACCAAACTTTTTGTTCATTGTCTTCTACCCATTTTCCATATTGCTTTTACGAAAAAAAACTACAACTATTCTTACGGGAAATTTTCTTAGCTACAACTTTGCGGAATACTGTTTTTCAGCCAAATGTCAAATTAAATTGTTATTAATTGTTTAAGAGATTGATAATCTTATGGCATGATCAAGCAGCTGTTCGGTGGGCAACACTGTATTCTGCAGTGTGACATAGTAGCCATGATATTTGTGCTCTATTGTTCGCACCAGAAACACCAATGTTGCCTGCTGAACAGTTGAATGAGCATATTCATAAGACATCAGTGACTTGAATCATTAATAACTTTTGTTTCTTACATTTTATTGAAAAATGGTTTTCAACAAAGTTGTAGCTAATTTGCTACAATCACTGCTGTCATTTTTAAAAGTATAGTGATGTGGTGAATTGTTAGATAGATATGAACAAAAACATAAGTTTTCCCATACTAATTCCCATATAAACTTGAAATGGTTCTTCAAGACTTCTGATTCACCAGATAATTTTATGAAGATCGCTATCTGTCCAGGAATCCAAATAACATCTGTCAGATATTCTTTTTTTTTTTAATAATACCTAGCAATAAGAAATTATTGCAGACTAATAAGTACTTTGACTATATGTTTTGTATTACTTCTGCGTGAAGTCAACGATTTACATAGTTTAAGATACTTATTTCAAATAACAGACTACAGTGGTAATTTTTATACGATAGATGAGGATATGAAAGTATAGAGATTGTCAAGTCGACGATGACAGGAGCACATACCATGGTAGAGGTAACAATAGTTGCAATTTACAAACCTACGACTGGATGCCTTCCTTCAGATAACAACTTGAGTGCGGTAAACATCGATAGAACTGTTTCAAACACATCGTCGGTACATTAGCAAGTCGGCGATCATCTCTTTTTGCCAGTGGTGGT